AATGCTACGAAACCAGCACGTGAACTCCCACCTCGCCATGCTGCTCCACCACTGCCCTCCCCTCCTCCCTGATGCGAGAGAAACTTTCAACCACCAGCAAAAAAACCTCTGCCAGGGAAGGGCGAGCGGGCACGTCACAGGGTCAGAGGAGCAGGCAGCGAGCTCACTGCCAGGGACCCTCGAGGTGCTCCTCTGCTGTCCCCGCACGGGCAGAGGGGCAGCTCCTGCTCTCCCGCAGAGCCGCGTGGCAAAGGATGCTCTCGAGGACGGTACCCAGCAGGCTGAGGCTTCTCCGTGGCGGAGGCGGCGGAGTCGGAGGGTGCGGGGAGGTCAGTCCTCGCTGAGAGATGTCCACGTCCACCAGTGACACCGTTTCACCTGGAGGTTGGTGAAAGTTAGACTGTCAGTATTGTCCCTTCTCCGGGGCACGCAGAGGCCGAGCGCGGGGAGAGGGGAAGGGGCAGTAACCGCCGTCAGGTTCAGAGATGATCTCGTCAGCTGTTTTCAAATCAAGTTCCCACACCGCACCGCTTTTGAGACGCTGCCAAGCTCTGCCAGCGCAGCCCGAAGGCCAGGCTGACGGGAACCACACCGGGACGCGTGCCGGGACCCCGTGCGAGCCCAGCACCGGGAGGATGTGGTGAGGAAGGCACTGCCAGACCTCACCAGCACCACGTCCGGGCATCAGGCAGAGCTCGTTGGTGGTGCACGGCGCGGGCCCTTTGCGTAACACCTGGGAAATGGTTTCACAGGTCTGCATGGCAGCCACGGGCACAGGACTCTGAGATAACACTGCTGTCAATGCCAGTCGGAGTTTGCCTACAAAAGCCTCAGATGATCGAACAGAAATACCTTTTAGCCCAAAGGCCAGGAGGGTACCAGCTCTTAAAATGAGTAAGAGGGAGCTGGACAGGCTTTTTACATTAAATAACTGGAATTCCCTGAAGCCTGAAGGCTTTGGATCCAAGCTACTGCTTGGGGAAAATGACAACTCAAACTAAGACGTCTAACTTCAAACCAGAAAGGCTTCAAATTAGTCTAAAATCATGGGAGAGAAAGGATGCCACCAAATCCAGGTCAAAGCATCAGCCTCAGTGCTGAGCTGGCACAGAGTCAAAGGGAAGACAGCTCAGTCTGAGACAGACCCTCAGTGGTGCTACCACAGCCAAGGCTTTTTTTTCCCCCCTCCAAAAAAATCAGTCTAACCAGGCTCTGACAGACCACCGACACCGCAACTGAATCCCCCCCAACACCCGAACCACGACCTCGAGGACAAGGGAATCTGCCTGCCTCTGACTTCAGCTCCTGTGGGCAGGGATCTCCTCTTCCTCTCCTGCTCCAGACGCACAGCGTCACCCACCCCTCGGTAAGCACCCAGCAATCAGGTATCCACCACCCAGCACAGGGGACAACACTGACTCGGCTTCCTCCTGCTTTTAAAAGTCCTCTCTATTAATAGGCCACGTTATGAGGAGTACGTAGAGCTGGTTATTATCCGCGGTACCTTCTCCCTGGGGGACTTCGGGGTGCGAGCGCACACGCATGCACACAGCTGCTCTTTCACTTCCACACCCTAAAAATAAAGCGGCTGGGCCGCATTCGTCGTGTACAAACAAAAGCAAAGGACACCCCGACTACGGGGGGCTGCAGCAACTCCGCTTTCCAGCCCTTCCCCGGCAGTGGCGGGGATGGCAGGCCGTGCCGGCCTTAGGGAGCCAGCCCTTCCGAGAGGCACGCAAGGAGAGGTCGGGAAAGGCGAGGACAGCCTTCCCGAAGACCTGCGCTCGCCCCACACGCTGCCCCAACAGCAAATCACCAAGAAAGCCATGCAAGCTGGGCCAGGCTTTTGGTTTCTGTCCTGCTTTGGTGGCCCCAGTCTCAGAAAACCCCCTGTACAGCAGCCACCAAAGCAGCCAGGTGCTCAGCGGAGTCAGACTGGGGAAGCCAACCACAAACCAAAGCCAGCCAGATCCCAGTGTTCACTCTGGGGACGCTCCCGCAGTCTTCTGCAAAGGAAAAACTCCTGCGAGGGCATTGTGACTATTCCACCGACTGGCAAAAACTGACCTAAGTAATATTAAAAATAGAGGGGGGGAAGAGAGGGGGAAGAGAGGGGGAAGAGAGGGGGAGCGCTGCCCGGGTTTTTTGTGCTTCAGTGCCAGGCTGGGCCATGCCCCCGACTCGTAACGTGGCTGCAGAGCGTCTCCCCAAGAAGCAGGGTGTGTTTTCAGAGATGCCTGCCCGGGCCGAACGCTACGACCCACAGCCCGGAGCGGGTCAGCAGCCTCCAGTTACCAGTTCCGGGCAAGTCAAGCGAATGCTCTGCCTTGCAGGTCCCTTCTCTGAAATTCCAACCAGCTCTCAGGGAGACACCACCGCTGCTCTCCAAGGAGGGCTTCGCCTGACTCGGGAACACAAACCCCACTCCGAGCTCCCTGCGACCGAACGGCCACGCCAGCAGCACCGGGAGGCTTCCAGCTCTACCCACCGGCTCTTCCCAGCTCCCCTGTCGCTAAACCATCACGTTTTGACTCCTCTGCTCTGCAATAAGACCATCAGCATTCAGTTCTTTGGAACCTGACCATCACAACAAGCCCCGTAAAACCCCACGCAGCTGATAAACGCTCACTTGTGACCCGAGATCGCGACCCACGCAAGCCTTGAGACGGGGTTCTCCCAAGGAAGCCCCAAGCCCTGTGCCAAGGGCTGTCCTGCCTACGAGCCCACACCACAAGAGGCACACGACCGCGACCAGAAGGTGTTCGGTCCTACAGCTTTCAGCTGCCCGCAGAGCAGGACTTCCCCCTCGCGCCATTTATAAACCAGCCAACTTCCCCCCACCCCAGCAGAAAAGGGAAGGTCAGAAAGCAGCAGGGCCCGGGGGGAGGGGGGAAACATGCTGAAGAAAGCAGTGGTGCTCCACAAAAGAGGTTTCCACTCCCATGGCCGTCCTGCAGCAGAGCCACCGGCGTCGGCGTGCAGCCCAGGTGGGAAGCGGGGCTCGGCCCGAGCCCCCCGCAAACCACGGGAGGGGAGCACCCAGCGGCTCTGGCTCTGTAGGGGATTTCCCCAAGCACCTGGATGCAAAGAGCCCTGCGCGGAGGAAGGACCTTCGCCTCCCACAGCACAACTCAGACTCGTGTTTCAGCAGCAGGAACTGCAAAACGCTGACGCGCAGCGGCCGCGTCCTTGACAGTTCCTCTTGCTCAGGGTCTGAGGCCAAGCAGGACCCAGGGACTCTGCACAGAGCTCCCGGTGCGCGCGTGGAGGCAACGTCTGGTGTCTGTGCACAAACACACACCACTATTTCCATGGCAAAATGAAACGCCGTACCGTAAACCTTTCCAATCCTCACCTGTGAAGAGGGGGCTGAACACAACCGGGGAAAAGGCACTTTGAGTTCTTGTCAGTCTGTGTTTCCTGCTGGAAAGGAGACAAACATCGTTAGTGGAGACAGGGAGACTCGGTGCATCCCCACAGCAGAAAACACCGTTTGATCTTCTCAGCCCAGGACAGCCTTCACCATTCTTTCCAGAAGCTCCAGACAGCTCAACGCCGCGCGCTCATTCGACTCCGAGAGCAGCGCTTTGGCTTAAGTAGGGCAGTCAACCAGCAAAGCTAGGTCTCCGTCCTGCTACGAAGCAAATCTCTAACTAGGTAATTAATAAAGTCTTTGGAAAGCAAAACCCCAAGCAAGGATGGTAACCGGAGCCGAGAAGCTGTTTCACAACAGTCAGGCTATTCCTCCGGATCGGGCATTGCCAAACGCCGTCGCCAAACAGGTTGGGCCCCTGCACAATCAGGGGCTGCGCCTAGAGCCAGCGCACCGAAGGTGCTCGGAGGACGCCGTCGCCCCGAAGGGTTTCAAAACGCAGGCGAAGGGCGGGCGAGCTAAACCCGGAGCCGTCGAGATGGAGGGAAACAGCTACACACGCCCCTCTGATGAGGAGCCGGGAACACCAGCAACGCCCGTCCCCCCCCCGCAGCGTTTTTATAACGACGCGGCAGCCAGCCCTGCGCGCTCCCCGCACGAAACCACTCCTCCCAGTGCCTCCCCCACCGCCACGCTCCAGGGCTTTGTCCGGATCTAGGCAGGGAACATGCTGGTAAACTGAGGCACGGAGTATGGCACCCCCACGACTTGAACCCATGGTTGAGGCGAGTGGAGAAAGGCGTTCCCGGTGCCAGAAGCTCACTCCCACCCAAGAGCGGAGCACAAGCACAGCTCCCACGTGCCGCAGCCCCGGCAAAGGTCTCTGCAGCTTCCCCGGCCGCCGTGCAGCGCCCGTCCCAGC